GGTGCCCGTGAAGACCGAAGGCTCAGTGCGGCGACGTCTCGTGAAGGCTCGGGGAGTGCCAGATTGGGGAAGAATGTTCTAAAAAACATGGGACATGGCTTTTGCATGGCTTACTCCATGGCTTTTGCATGGTTCTTTTTCGTTATTTGTTCCTTTTCCCAATGTGTTTCAACGGTTTTTTTTTTCAAACGTTATGTTTTCTCAATTGTTCCCAGATCTCAGGAACGAGTATTTCAAGGACGGCATGCCTTGTTCAAGCCGGTTGGGGGTTGGGCGCCTTGGGGGTTCAAAAGGGGAGCTCAACAGGGGGTGCCGCCTTCAATCCAGAATCCAATCTCTTCCAGGACCCCCCGTTTCGGAGTTTTGACAAACCCTTGGGTAGGAACCACATCCCATACAACTCTGTCAGAGATCGGCCTTGCACCCGAATCATCATCATCCACTCTTGTTGGTCATAGGATCATACACCAAATAACCCTTAGAAGCCCCTTAGACGTGAAGGGGTGTGCATGAACCACCCCACTCCCTGGGTCCTGGTTCACCTGACGACCTCTTTTCTTCGCTTCGCTGCCCTCGGTCTCCGGTAGCCGCGCGGCACAGCGCACATCGTCGGCGGCCGCATTGCAGGAGGAGGTGGTGGATGTGGACGATGCCGGAGAGTCCCAGAATCATCGACCGTGGATCTTCCGGCGCCGAAAACTCACTTCGACCCTGACGGTCTGGCCCTGACGGTCTGATGGTTTTCCTCTACCAAGCATGAGTTTTTCAGGTTTTGCAGGGTGTACCTGGAGCATCCTGTTTGGGTGTCCAAGTCCATTGGCCACCCAGACTGGATGGTCCTGGCATCGACCTTTTCATTAAAAAACAACAGCCACAGAATTGGACCGCTTAGATCGCTTGGGTCCCACTGCAGCTGTTTCTTTAGGACAAAATGGTCTGTCGGCCATGTCAGCATACCAGGAGTCACAAATGGGTGCCTCTTGGAGGGTAAGCCATTATCCATTCACTTAGGAACTAAATGCCACCCCTTGGTGATCCCCTGGTATGATCCACTGATGTCTTGTGTTGGGCGATGCTGCGTCTGGTCAGTGAGATAGACCCCCCCGCACCGCAGAAAAGGGCCACCCGCGGTCATAGCCGCCAGCTCGTATACGGGGGAGAGCAGGGAAGCTGACAAAGTCAGAACCTCCTGGCCAGGCGATGGAAGTGGAACTCAGTGGAACATGGCCCTCTTGGAAGATGGATTTTTCCTCTACAAACCCGGTGCTTTTCCACTTCCATTCAGGGAGAGGTTAAAACCTGCCCCCAAAGGCGATCCCAAGGACCCCCGGGACCGGTCACCACGGTGGTGTAGAGGTTCCGACCAGATCGGTCACCGGTGGCGAGACGCCCGGAGGATTGGTGAAGAGGATTGGTCAGGATCACCGGTGGGGTGAAGAATTCTGGAGCGAAGACGAAGACTTATACCCTACAAGTCAGTTTGACCTCATTTTACTGGGGATGGTCATAGAAAAACCCATACTTCAGGAGGTAAAGGACCAGGTACTTATAGGGTATATCTAATTGGTCACACTCTTCGTGGTTGTATAAGTATAGAACACACCCTCCTGGCCAGGCTGTGAACGTTGAAGGTTGGGAAGGACCCTGTCGAAGCGGAAAAAAAGCAGACAGGTGACCTGTAGGGTCGGGTCCAGGTAGATGAGAAGGATCGTAGATGTCTCCAGGTGTCCCAAGCAGCCCGACCAAAACAGCTCCCACTCTCCAGATCTTCCAGGGCACTTCGCTAAGAAGTGAGCCCAGTTAGGTGGGTGGTCCTGGACATGGGCGGATGGCTGGCCAAAAGCGCGGTTTATGCCGAGGTGCCGAGGCGCCAAGGGCATTCAGAAAACCGGTACGTACTCCACCCGGTGAACTCCATTTCTTTCTTTCTGACGATTTTCTGTATGCAACCAAGACTAAGACTTGAGGAGGCAACCTAAAAGGTATCCAAAAGGACGACCTTCGCCTGAATTCCTGATCCCATGGCTTCGAGTGTTGTATGATTGTATGTTTAAACGAATCTGAAGTTGGGGTTGAGCCGTGGACCTTACGGAAAACGGTCAAGGTTAAGGTTTCTAATGCGGACTGCGAGGCATCCCGAAGAGACAGGCATGCAGCTGATCCCAGACACGACTCAGGGGACTGGTATATATATACCAGGACCTTCAAAGTGACCTCTTTGGAGTCTCTAAGTGACCTCTTTAGGGACTAAGTGACCTCATTCTAGGATCTCAAAAGGTCACTTTGAAGGTCCTGGTATATGTATGTATACTGGACTGCGGTTTTGGAGCGCCGTATTCCCGTTCTCCGCAGCGTTCTCCATGCATTCTCAGGACAACGCCATCCGGTCGTCCCTTTTTGAGGCCTGGGGAGGGGTCCGACACCACCCCCTGATGATTGTGGGAAAGACCTTCAAAGGCGCTCTAGTCCATTTGCACTCGCTGGTTCTGTGGCATCAATGCCGCTGTGGGACAAGATGAGATTGGTGGTGATGACGGCGTTTTTGTGTATTCGAGCCTCCGACATGGGTGGTGCTTCGTCAGACAGTCAAACAACATGTCATTTGATCTTTCAAATGACATCCATTTATATACCCCCTTTTGCTAGTCACATTCCACTACCTGTGATGGGCCCACCTCAGAAGATGTTGGATTTGCACCTTCCCTCAAACAGACATGGAAGTGACAGGGCCACATTTGTAGAGGAAGATCGTCTTTCGATCCGCTTGCAAATGATTGTCAAATGACTGGCAGATATCTACAAGGGGTTTTCCATCCCAAGTGGTGTTAGCCCAGAACTTTCAATATGACTCCTGAACTAACTAAACCTACCACCTGGTAATGAAAATCATCCAGCACTGAAAAAAAGGAGGGCCTCAAGCAGCAGAGTCATGGGAGTCAAGCAGCAGCCTCGTCGGGTTTCCCGCAGGTCCGCGTGAAGCGTGCCAAGACCGAGGCGGGCATTGGTGATCAGGCCCCCAAGCGCCTGGAGAGCCCAGAGACCGAGCGTGGCCGGTGCGGGTCATGTGGGGCGGGCCGGTTCAATCGGGTGAAGCCAATGGCCCCCCAAGCACCAGTGGTAGGAGCTCACAGCTCACCCATTCAAGAGCGAGATTGTGTAACCTCCTAAGAACCAGCAGTCACATGTCGGGGGTGCCCCAGTCACATCCACAGCCCCTGGAGGGGACCAAACACCACCCCGACATGTGACTCCTGGAAGACGTGTCTATTTTTGCTTGCCTTCTGAACAGCAAATTCAATGGGCTTCGTGGCTGCGATGTCTGGCGGGGGGCCTGGGAAGGGCTGACGCTGTTGGCGCCAAGCCAGGACCAAGCATACGGTGGCCGTGTTACTATAATTACAGCATATTACAGCGTTTTGTGACTTGTATCTTGTGAGGATTTATCAAGTACAGTGTGCAATTACGTAGTCCATCGTAGTCCATTCATGACACTTTTGGATGGTCTGGCCTGGGTGTGCAGCGGTTCTTATGGGTGGTTCACAGTTTGGGATCTGGGATCGTTCTGCGGTCTTTGGCACAGAGAAGTGCGCAGTCCAAACACCCAAAACATCCATTAATACAGACTCAGTGGACTCTTGATTAATAACCACCCATCTGAAGAGGTTGATTCATGCCACGGGGCATACGGCACAGTACTCGCTGTACAAAGAAGCGTTTGGAATCGTGAAGGAACATGGGTTTAGCCCATTAGCCCACCACCAAAAAGCCATCTTAGGTGGTTCCATGGTCAAGACCCGAGCGTCCCGTCCTCACCGAGGGAGGAAGATGGAAGACGACGAGCCGCGGAGCTCAGTGACCGCCACGGGGGGCATGCAGAGCATGGTCAAGGAGAACCAGGAATGGCCATGAATGGCTTGAAAAGGTGTAAGAAGATAGCTTAAAAGGTGTAAGAAGATAGCTTCGCGAGCTATCGCAAACTGCACTTCAACATGGAAGACAGCCAGAAGCTACAAGCATATTATGGGATCAGATGTGCTGTTCCCTGACCGCGAGTCGGAGGAAACGAGAGCCTAGATTGGTACCACACCATCATGAACCTCAAGTCCGAAGACCCATGAGATTCATGGGAAATCCGTGCCATGTTGAAGAGAACATTGGCTCTCCCCCCTAGGGCTAGGGCGTCGTACCTTCTGCGGTGTTTGGAACGGGTTGTCAGAGCATCCAGTCACCCGGACACGACCTGTCTGCGACTGCCGGACTGCCAAAACGGCCGACCGGGGTGGTGGAGTTTTCGGGGGGGTTCTGGCTTGATCGGCAGTCCGTCATGGCAGTCCCAGGTCCAGGTCGTGTCTGGGTCAGGTCGTGCCCTTCCTTTTTCGCTTCGCTTCTGCGACGATCCGCGAATCCGCGCCCGATCCGCGGATCGATCGATCGATCGATCCGCGAGGTCGGACGATGGACAGCCACACCGACTTCCACCGGGCTTTGGGGCTATCCCAGAGGACGGCGGGTGGGGCGAGGAGAAGGCGGACTCCGAAGGACGGCGGGAAATCACCGATGACATGAATTTCTCCGGGGGGGGGTATGGACATGATTAATGCATCCAGGGCATCAGGCTAACTAGCGGCTATAGTGGATGCTAGTGGGATCAATTTTCTTGTGTAGTGGTGTCCGGTGTGTTCTTTTTCTCCTCGAGTTTTATCCAATGGGACTGCTACTGCGACTAATTCCTTAGGTCCTGCAATCGTGGCCTCATTTTGTAGATTTTTGTAGAACGTTGAACGATAGATGCGCCACTCAAAATCGAGAATCATTTTAAAGGCCTTGCTTCATATCCCATAGTGTTGTCCGGCGGGTAGTGTTGTCCGGCGTGTTTGTCATCCACGAGCTGTTAATTTTAGGTCCTGCACTCGTGGCCTCATCGTAGAACTAGAAGCATATTAAACAGCTTCGTGGTCTCCCACTCAGCTTGGCTCGATTCATCCCCACGTCGATTTCCCATGGCGGCCTTCACGCTGCTCCCCGGCGCGCCCGCCGCGGCCACTCCTCCTGCTCTGGGGCCGCCCGTCGCGGCGCCGCACAGCACGGGCAGCGCGGCCCCGCGCAGCGCGCTGGTGCCCTGCGCGCTGCTGGGCCTGGCGGCCGTGCGTCGATGGTGCGGCGCGAAGCGCCCGGCGCGGGCGGTGCTGCGACGCGCGAAGAGGAGCGAGCTCTTGCGCTTCGGTGGCGCCAGTTGCGCTACAGCCTTGATGCCGCAGGTGGTCTTGGCCAAGACGAAGGAGGAGAACTTGGGAGGTCACACCGGGGGGGCCTGGGAGGTCACACTGTGATGCATAGAACACCTGGCCGACCTCAAAAAGTATCCTCAAAATGGTACACTCCCACCCTCGTCCGAGCAGTTCCTCCTCCAAAACCCGGTCTCCGAGGTCGTCGGGGTTCACTTCGAAGCCGTCGCAGGAGGCCGCGGGAGAGCTGAAGAGCTACTCGATGGCGGAGATCGTGCCGACCGAGGAAGCACCGTCCGGATGGCAGTGGGTGGTGGAGGGCATTGGCCTCACACAGGACGTGGGTGGGAGTGGAGTGGGTCGGCGTGAAAGCACGAACGCGGGAGTTTCGTGGTGGTCGCGCATGGTGCCAACTTGGAGCTGCCAGAGTTAAGGGGGCAAAGGGTGAAAGGGGAAGAAGTTGGGAGAGTTTTGTTGTAATTGATGAACTGCAGTAATACAATCAAGGAACGGTTTTAGGATCTAATATTATGTAGTCAGCTCTGCTCTCACCTCCTTTCGTTTGAACACTGCCATTCTTTTGTGATGCCAGCTTGCTGACAGTTCAGTAACTACAGTAATACATATAGTAATACTAGTTTTTTGAGGATGGTTGGAAGAGGGAGCAGGAAGTATAGACAAGAAGATGTCCTGCTCCTGTTTGCATTTTTATTCTATAAGTATCATTTGGTTCAGGTCTTTGTCAATTTTGTTCTCAGGGCATTCTTTGTTCCCTAATCTGGAATTCCTAACTGGAGTCACTAGAGTCCTAACTTCTTATTGTTGAGCAAAAAAGAAAATGGAGGGCTGAGGGCTGGAGTAATTACTTCACGGTGGGATTCGATGAGCTCGGCTGTATGAATGATGCGATTTTCCAATCCATGAAGGTGGACTATTGGCCGAGCAGTTGGAGTGGTTTTTGGGCCAGTTTGGGGATGCCTGATGGGATCTCAAGTGTTTCACAGATGGATGATCTAGTCTAGAGATTCCCTGGGATGTAGGTTTCCTACGACGCTCTCAGAGGAATTGAGCAAACGACGAGCGAGCATCTGCACAGCACGGTGTCCCAAATGTGCAAGAGCACTGAAAGCGGAAAAGAATGCACCAACATGTGCCCATCCAGTCCTTCCCAGGTGATACAAGAATATGTGAGCCAGCCATTACATCCTTTCATCACCCCCAGCGGCTGGAAGTCTGGCGCGCGCCGCGCATCCGTGCCGACGCCGACAGCCCTCTCGTGCCGGGCCCCAGCACCTAAGCAGCGCAGCAGCATGCAGCAGCATGCACCAGAAAGCACCCACATGCCTGATCCCTTGCCTCCAAGACCGGTGGCCATCATGCACAGCATGCGCACCGCAAAAAATATGGAGCAGTACATTACATGCCTGTATATCAACTGCATTGTAGCCATGTTGTAAGAAAACTCCGCAAAAACCATGTACCGGCAGCATGCGCAGCATGGGCACCGCTGCAAACACCCCGAGCAGTACATGACTGCATGGTATATCAACCTGCATGAGTGTATAATAGCAGTTTTGAGCAGTTGAATGCAGTTGATGGCCATCTGTATGAGTGTATAGCCCGAGCAGTTGATCGCCACGAGTGTATAGCCATATTCAGCAGTTGAACAACCAGAACAACCAGAAGTTCCTGAACCCATGGCTATAGAACTGTATAGAACTGTATAGCCCATGAACCGTGCCAACAGGATGCTTACATGAACAACCAGAAGTTCCTCACCGCTGAGCCCACCATCGTGCGCTTCTTGGCGCCGCCCTTCTGGTCCGTGGCCACGCCAAGGGTGGACTACAACGGCGCGTCGGGCACGATCCAGATCAACAACTATGCCAAGGGTGATCGGTTTTCTTTTTTTGTGTTTTGGTGTTTTGTCTTTTTCCGTCTTCTCCGCGTTTTTGCCACGGCGTGGTGCTTCCCGCGCGTCTGAGATGGTCTGAGTTCTTGTGGTCTTGTTTATACGTCTGTTCCTTTCTTTTTCCGCGCGGTGAGCGCGCGTGGAGCGGAACGTGGAACTCTTTCTCTGCGAGAAGAGTGCGTGTAGATCTGAAGAAAGGCGCATGGAGTTGCATGGAGAAGTGGATAGACAAGATGTGTAACTGTGTGGTGACCATATTATGAATTGTGATCGACGATCCGAAGTGGATGGCAAGGGTGTGGCCAAGGGGAGGAATATAGGTGCCTCAGGGATCATGAGCGTGCTACATAATTTTGGATATATGATGTCGTGAGGGTATAGTATGGCAGGGGAAGGCCCTTAGAACGAATTTAGCACTCATCATGTTTTTCACCTTCAGTAGCTTCACAGGCAAAGCCATGGAAGCGGAACATCAATGGACATCGATGGACTTCAATGGACTTCAGGTGGTGCACATCATGTCAGGGAGTTAATTGACTTCATCAAGTGGTCGATTTAGACAGGATAGGTGATGAGTGGTGCAGGTGTCCAGTTCATTCGTTCGTTGGCCAAGTTCATCAAGTCCTTTTTCCGCAAAAAAAAGGCACGCACATTTCTTCGCCCTGGTGCAAGGTGATTCCGCAACGGTGTTCATCGACACGGAGTTCAAGGGAAACCTTCAAGACATGAAGCAAGCGGATGCTGGGTCTGATCTCAGATAGATTCAGATAGTTAGATGGGCCAGGTCTGTCCGAACTGACCTGCAGAGCCGTCAGTAAAAAAGAACATCACTACTTTTGAACAAGGCCTGCAACCAGGCCCCATCATCATCCACTGTTACAGGTAATAGGATAGACCCAAGTTAGATGAGCCATTGGATGCCATTGGCGATGATGGTTTTAATGGCCACCAAAAATGGTCGAAGGCACGCACACAGACACATTCCCTGAGGAGATGTTGGTAAGTATTCAATGAACAATATTATAAGGCCAAGATGGCACGTGTTTTTTTTTGAGGGTGACCCTGAGCCGAATTAAGGCACAACAACCCCAACCCTCACTTGTGGTAGGTGGATAGTGTGGATAGTGGATGAATAACACTAAGCACAACCTCGGTTTGGTGCCCAATCCATGCAGACTTTTTGGATCCTCTGGTTTGAGTCCATCTCCTGACCGTCCACCTGTTGAAACATGGGCGAGACCACCAGTTTTTGGTATATTTCCCGAGAGTTCCTGCGAAGGGTTCTTCGTCAAAAAGCTTCACATCCTCACATCTGCTGATCTACATCTTCAGATCTGCAGATCCTGTCTGTCTCTCTCTCTCTCTCTCGCTCGCTCGCTCTTTCTTTCTCTCTGAAGGCGCAGGCGGTGGCGTCGAAGCGCCACGAAACGTGACAGGCGCAGCATTTCGTGCACCTTGGACGTCCAAAACCTATAGGTAAAATTGCAATTTTGAGGTGTGCACTGCAACCCTTATGCACGAAATGGACGTTGAACGTCAGTACCATCGATACATCTCACCCAGACGCCGGCAAATCAGCTCAGGACCACACCACCCTATTGGAGAACACCACACCATTGATGAACACTAACAATTCAGCTAAGTACCTTCTTCTCTTCGTGTTCACACATCATCTTCCCCGGTTCCTCTTCGCACATCGTCTTGACACACCTGCTTGCACTTCAACACCTGGCCTTTTTCATCTTACTTGTCTTTCTCTCGTTCATGATCTGTCACTTTGGAATGATCTTCTGACAACACATGTTTCCTTCAGCAACCGAAATCAACATAATCGATCATTGGAAATCATTTACTTTGGTATCTCTATACCTGGACCTTCCAAGGGGTGTCCTGGCTGGAGGTCCCTTAGTGGTGGGCTGGGGCGAAACCAGCCAGGGCACCCCCTGGGAAGGTCCTGGTATTTCATCATTATTTCATCTTTCAGTTTTCTGATTATCCTACTCGACGCTGCTATGACATCACCTTGTTCGCTCTCGGGCCAACCGTCGTCTAGTTTTGTAACGACTCGGTACTCCTGCAACAGGAGCCAAGGCTCTGCAGCAACATACACTGACCATGTGGGAGGGTTTTTCTCCCCTTTTGTTTCCAACCACAGGCCAACGACCCACCACAGATCTTTATACAAGTCGCCCCCCCCTGCCTTGCCCTGACTGGACCGTGTCGCGACGCTCGCGACTCGCCCGCAGTTAACGCGCCGACACGAAGGATTTCAAGAAGTCCTTCTTTCGCGCCTTGACCTTGAAGGGCTCCGCCTCCTTACAGGGCCTCAGCATCGGCAAAGTCAGCGATTTAGAGGGCGCTCCCAATTACAAGCTGGCCGCCTGGCACGGGGCGGGGTGTTCGTGCGTCGATGCTTAGGCTTTGAGGCAGGCACCTGGAGTCTCGGAGGTGCGTACCTCGGAAAATTTACCTGCCTTTTTTGATGGGGTCATGTCCCATGTTCTATTTGGAAGTCGGGTCCCGTTGCAGGTGGGCATCCGGAAAACAGATCCGAGTGGATCAGCTGCAGACTTGCCATCCGAGTGGGTCACGGGTGGTATACCACTCACCAAGAATTGGTGAAGGAGTTCGATGAAGCTGCGAAAGGAGGGACCTCTGAGGGTGAGGATGTGGGAGTCAGACAAACTAGCTGGTAGTTGGCGTTTTCGCAAGGATTCTGGTGACCGTTGAGTGGTCCATTTCGATTGGTTTGCCCAAGGGGTGTCCCTTTTTTGGCACGTGAGTGCGCAAGCACGCCATAGGCTCTTGCTGGCGGCATTTGGGTAATATGGTGACATGTGGTTGCCTGAAAGCAGCAGAAAGTCCTGTAAATCAGTTTCATGAACGAAGTCCTGCACCTCCTAGCCAGTGCCGGGGAGCTTCTCCGGCTCTTTGCTTGGCTCCAAACCCACGTTCTTTTCGCGACCGCACCGCCCACATTTGTCAAGACTGCGCCCTGCTGGTCTGGCTTCCCCATGTTGAACACATGTGAGTACGCGGCATGGGTGAACACCTACGAAAACCAACCACAACACCCCCCCAAATCATGTTCCTTGTAGTCGCTTCTTGTTCGACCACCTCCACCGTTCGACGACCCCAAACGCTCCACACTTCCTCCACGCGAGCTCGCGCGCACCGTCGTCCCCCGGTCGTTGGTGACCGGACCCCACCGGGCCGGGCGGCACCAGGTGTCCTTCGATTGGACCTTGTTCACCGGCGCGGGCTTCGAGAGCCCCGGCCGTTTGGGTGTCGGGTCTTTCTCGGTGGGAAGGCAGGTCTCTCTCCACAGCCGAGCGTTGAAAGAAGAGGCCGGAATCCCCAAAAGAAGCCATTGGTGGTAGGCATGTTTTTGGTGCTCAGGAGGTTCAAACTAAACCAGGTCAACCGTTTTTTTTCAGTGTGTTTTTAAATTCGGTTGCTAGCGTGGCCAGTGTGGACGTGAACTTTGCCCCCTCCGGGTGGGACACCATTTGTTCGCCGCCCGGCCCATCGCTTTTGCTTTGCAGCTGAAGCAGCGCCGACGAACGCGAGAATCCGCCCCGTGTTCGGAGAGGCGGACTGAAGAAGGAATTCGACTCGCCATGGTTGGTTGGAGTAGAACATTCGACTCTTCCATACCAGGACCCTCCTGTCGGGGTGCCCTGTCTGGAAGCCTATAGGTAGTGTGGGGTAGTTCATTGGACACCCCGACAGGAGGGTCCAGGTATATTCTTGTTTTGTGCTTTCTTTTTTGGGAGGGTTCCGGTTAAAAAGGAGAGCACTTGCCGACCTTCCGAAGCGAGAACGCCCCGCAGGGATCTCCCAAACGGCGGGGGTCCGATCCTGCCGCCGCCCTCGACCGCCTTCGCGCGGCCTCCCAGGATCGATCGTGATGGCTTTGCCGTGGTGACGCAGCTGACGCCCGGGGGACCCTTGCAGATCTTCTGGGGCGGCGTGGTCTCCACGCGGTTCAAGGAGATGAAGGAGACCTTGTTGGACGTGATCAAGAGCTTCCGCTGTGCCAAGGTGCCGGAGGGCATTAAGATTGAGATGAGGAAGGAGTACAAGGATTTCAACACCAACTTCAGGGAAGGAGAGCCATGAGAGTTCACCATGGCGCCAGAGGATCCGTGGGTGATCAAGGATGCAGGCAAAGTAGCCATCATAGATTTGATGCATGTACTGAACAATTTTCGATTTTCGGCCACCTCGAGAGCCAATCTGCGTGCACCAAAAAGAGCCGTGAAGAGGAGAGAGGAAGCAGGGGAAGCAGAGGTCGTGATAGATCAAGGATGCCGCAGGGCATGCATCTCTAGTCTTCTGGGGACCAACCGAAGAAAAGACACACGCCACACCCAGCAGGGGAAGCGGCTCCAAACCGCGCTCGACTCACTTCGAGACGCGAAGCACGGTGACCCCGGCAGGACATCGTGGAGGAACGGCAGAGGTCCCATGCGCCGGGTGGCGGATCTGGAGTGCCAGACCCGTTCGGGTGTCCAGGGTCCAGCTGTTGGGGGAAGGGTGGTTGTTTTCGGTTTTTTCCGCTCGCACGACCTAGCCAAATGGAGACATATAAGTAGTTAAGACGAGATATGTTACATAAGCGAAGAGTAGTATATCCCTGGTTTCAGAGATATGTTTATGTTCTTGGGATGATTTAATACTCTGACTGACATGTTTCGAGTGAGTTGAAACCACCAGCCAGTATAGAAACAAATCGAGGGAAGAGAACACAGAAACACTCTGTGGTTGTGCAGGACATGCTCAATTCGGGCCTTCACAAAGAAGGACTTTCCGCAAGCTTTGCGCCTTTCCCCATTGGGGACACCTCCTCCCTCTTCGAAAGACACAAAACATCACAAAACTCTTGTATACTGTATACGCGTATCAATCACATTTATATAGGTTAGGTTCACCAAATGTCACCACCAGGTGAAATCACCTAGACATGTTGTTTGAACACACCAAACTGACCTGAACATGGCTCTTTGACCCAAATGACACAGGCTGTGACCTGTGACCTGTCTGTTTGTGTTTTGACGCCCCCCCCCTCTCTTCTTCGTGTGGACCCCCTGGGTCCGCGCGGGACCCTGCAGATGGAGAGGGCCGAATCGAAGCTCCGGACAGGCAAAGAGAAGAGGAGCGAATCCTGCAATTGAAAGCCACGCAGTCTCGAAACCTGAGGGAGGGAGGGAGGGAGAGAGAGAGAGGGAGAGAGAGAAACGTGGAACTTTGGAAAAAACACATGAAAACAACGAAGTGGAACGGTTGGTGAATGTTGCACTGGAGTAGTATGGATGAACTGATGAACTGTGAGGGAACCTCAACGCGATCCGCGTGACTGTCTCAGTGAGTTTCGCGTTGGAACAGTTGAGACGTCTCCCGTGACCTTTTGCAGATCCTGCCGCACCATGTGCACGGGCGGTATTTCTACGGCCCGCCCTGAGGCCGTGCCGCTTCAGCAAGAAGTGCAAGAAGCGCGACTGCCCGAACGCACACCCCGAGGGCCCGGGAAGCCTGGGACGGACTCGTCGGTCAGCGATTCCGAGCTCTCGTCGGGCACCGGGATGAGGCACGAAGCTCGTGAGTTGGGCACCGGGATTTGGAACAGGTGCATGTTATGGGTTCATGATGCGTCATGTCACGATGCGGCATGCATGCGTGTAGGTGTAGAGATGCCTGACAGGGGAATCCACCTCCAGCACGAACTGAGAACGACCTTCCAAAAGGCATCGCCTTCTTTGGACATCCATTTCCCAACATATATGGCAGCATATTAAAATAGGGAGACCTCCCAACGACTCCATGGAAGAAGGGAAATACACCCAAAACTATACCAAAACCACGACCAAAACCATTTCCATTGATTGGTTCTTTTGAGGGTCTTCGTCAACTAAACATGTAGGGTCCCCAAATTGTCTACCCTACATGGTCTTTCCATTGTATACCTCCCATTGATTGAGGGTCCCCCTATTTCCATCGGTTCATTTTCGGTCCCTGGTGGTTCAAGATCTTCATATTCCAGTCCGCAGCCCGCTCTGGACACCTGCCCTGCACCTCGGTCGCATACTGTACACCAACCGTGCCGCGGGATGGGAGGATGGAGGATGGGGATGAGATCCGTTGGGGGCAGCGTGAATGAGTTCCCTCTAGGCTTCCAACATCTTCCAACCACGATGATTTCATAGGCTAAGAACCAAAGAACCATGAGGAACCATTGCTTTTACCAAGGATTTGGCACTACAACTCACCAGGTCCATCACTTTGAAGTCCGGTGCATTCTGCAGGCCCTCGAACCGGTCGCCGAACCGGATCGACCGGCGGCGCAGACTGAGTGATAGCCCACCATGAGACCGGCCAACTAGTGGGCCAACTCCAACTCAAGAATGGGCCGTGATATCCCAAAAAGATCAGTTGAGATGCTCCAATGCTCCAGTGCTTCGGGGTCTGCATTGGAATTTGCCATGCCAGTGTATCTCCACCTCAACCGGGTCTTCGTCAACTAAATATGTAGGTAGACATGATCATGGTAGACTCTTGATTGTATGTCAAGCCCCCCACATGTAAAAGGTTTTGCAATCCAAAGACGTAATGCGTTTTCTGACTCCAGTCTCTTCGTCTGCGTCATCGCAGTCGTCATCGCTCGCACTCATCGCAGTCGTCATCGACCGAACATGTTCAGCTGGCGCCTGCCGCCCCAGGTGCAGCGTTTGGCGGGAACAAACCCAAAGAAAGATGCCTCACTACTGGGCGCTGGCGCTGGCGGCACCGCTGGTGCTGCTGGGGCACACCGTGCGTGCGGAGGACTGTGTGGTGGACGCTACAGGCTCCAGAAGATGGGGATATATGGGGAGGTTCGTGGAAGAAGTGCGATTTTGGGGCTGGTGAAGGGATTTTCTGCAACCAGGAGTCACAAGGCAGACGTGGTTCTAAGTCCCATCCACGGCGAGGCGAAAGTGTGACGACGAGGGGGGGGGGTCCCAAGTCCAACACTTCCTCCGTTCGTTCGGCACCCTGACTTGTGACATAACTTGTGACATACATTGATACATTCCTGGAACCCCAGTCCCAACTAGAAACAAGTCTGGTTGTTCCAATATGGCAAATCCATGCAAATCCTTTAAATAGGAAATGGTTGGGACTGGGGAGTTCCATCCATTTCTTTCTGGTTGTTTGGGGTTCCAGGTTGATATGTGTCAGTTTTGGTGAGACATTCGCTGGCATCACTATTTCACACCTAGTTTCTGCAGTCTGAGTTCACGAGCTGATCAAGGAAGTGGTAAAAGACATGCTCCACTTTGTTGGAGTTCTACCACATCACCTCCGCCCAACATCTTCGCACAGTTTCAAGTGTTAGACCCCCGTCCGCCCGCCCCCCAAAAAGGAAAAAGCATGGCCCGCGCCCGGCCCGTTTTTTCATGGACGCTCCCTTAAATAATTATTCCATGGTCCGGGTAACCCCCAGGAATAATTTTCCAGGAATAATTTAAAGAAAATTGACCTGGAATAATTTATTTTGACTATGGAGAAAACAGACTAGGGGGTACCATGGAATAATAATCCTGACGAACCTCTGCCTACCCCAGAATAATTATTTAAGGGAGTTCACAGGTCGAATCAGATCGAATTGGAATTCGCTGTGTTCGCAATGCAGAGCTGACCAATGATTCGAGATTCTGGCTCAAACACGCCATATACGAATTTCTCACATCTTTATTGCAATGACGATACCCGATCCTCCGAAAGGTTGTTGCGTTGCAACTTGTGCCTTGAAGCGATTTAGGAACCATTTTTTTAATCGGTTTTGTGCTGATACTTAATGGATGGCTTTGATCACTGAACATTCGAGTTGATGTGAGGTGGTGGCAGCACGCGTGCCCCAGCGTTCAACAAGAAGTGGAATGTGTGGACAGCTGTGTGCGCCCCTTGTTGATTAGTGGACCAGAGCTTTTGGGTAGGGCCTTTGAAGAACATCTGTATTTTTTGGTATTTTTGGCGAAAATGTAGAAAGCCAATGCTTTGCTTCTGCATCTGAGGACAATGATTCAGTGTCATCCACTGGATATAAGCGTGTAAGCCATCACGTTTGGATTTATCTTCGTGAAGAGTGGAGGGGCAGCCCGCGGCTGTCAAAAACTATGAGTGCCTTGTTCGAGGCAATGTTGCACATTTACGAAAACAAAGATATCTGAAGTTTTTATTCCCGCAGCTTTACATGCTCCCATACCCCAGAATAATTTGAATATTTTGAGAAAAACATAATCCCACCAGCTTAGCGTGTCCCATACACCAGAATAATAATATATTTAACCAGGCAAACGCCTGGCAGCCGCCGACCCCCAGGGAAGTGGATGGCCTAGGTTTAATGGGTTCAGATTTTTTTCGAAAAATCGGGGAACCAAAAAAAACCACGGAACCCCTAGAGACATGATCTGTCACTGCATCACCAAAAGTAGGCAGAAGAGATCACGGCAAATGGGTTAACATTTTTCTTTTGAACATCTGGGAACCCAAAAAACAACACGGAGCCCCTAGACAACCACAGAACTATCTAGAAAAACCAGAGAAAATCCTGGAAAAACCATCGCAAAAGGCATGAAAGTTATGAGTAAAGCTTAGAAAAACCTTTGAAAATCCTAGAAATCCAGCGGAAAACGTTTGCAAATGGAGGAAAATGGGTTAGCATTTTTCTTTGCAAATCTGGGAACCCAAAAAACAACACGGAGCCTTTACAAGTACCTAGAGAAACCAGAGGAAATGCTGGAAAACACCCTCGCAAAAGGTCTGAAGGGCATGAGTAAATCTTACAAAAACCTTTGAAAATCCTAGAAATCCAGCGGAAAACGTTACAAAATCTAGGAAAAACCAAGGGCACTGGCAGGGACCAGGCCGCGACCAGCCCGGGATTCGAGCCCAGGACCATTTAGGGACCGTGCTTATTTTCCCGCGCGGGTGGAGAGGGTGCCCAATCCCCAGTCAGAAGCAAAGCAATACATTTGGCAAAATTTTGCGCAAATCTTGCACAAATGTTGCACAAATCTTGCACAAATCTCGGGACCTTTTCGTCACTGCAACAAGTCTCCGGAAGGGTAGGGGAGGTATAG